GTGTGTTTAAAACTTAATTTTTGTTTATAAAATTATAAAACTCCAGAAAATGGTTTGGGTTCATTGTTGAGTTTGTCATGTGGTTGGCAGAAATTTTATCACTATTTCTGGGTTTCTGCCAAAGAAACAGAGCTTATTCAGCAGTCAGAATTAGACTGTTTTATGAACAAAACTTTCTTTGTGCTATCCTGTCAGTTTCAATTTGAAAACAAAGAATATTTTCAGTGGATTAAAAGTAGTTGGAGAAAGATGCAGGAAGAACTGAAGTTATTGAAAGACCAAGTGTCTCCGATATCTAATCATTTAATGTGTCATATGTTTGTATTATATATTTGGAAATTATTTTTAGTAAAATGCACAAAAAATTCAGTGTATAAAAATGACTGTGCAGAAAAGTGAAATTCTTTGTGTATATAAATTATTGAATTGCGTTTTAATATACCTACAAATGTGTTAAATTATTTATTATCACAAAGAAATTAAATAATTCAATGATAAAGTGTTTTATTATGCTACTAATGGTTTTACTTATTATGTGCAGGTGTAAGAAAAAAATGAAAATGAAACGCAGCAGATCATTATCACCCAAACCCTCAAGCAGCGAAGATGATATGAAACGTATTAGACTTGAAGAGAATGCTGAAGCAGATAAAGCAATATTGTATCCACATATATTAGATTTTTCAGATGATGTGTTACTAAATATATTTCAATATTTGAATCCTCAAGATCTTATGGCAATAAGCTTGTAAGTTTGAAAAAGAGTACAAACAAATAACTGTTTTGTGCTTATAAATAATAAAACCTTGTACATTTGTAGATAAAAATAATAAAACCTTATACATTTATAGATGTTGTCAACGACTTGGACAAGTAGCACAAGATAAAACATTATGGAGAAGAGTAGATTTTCGTGCATTGCCTATAAAATTGAAGGACTTTATGAATGAGTACACAAAATTCCTTCAACCTGTGACAACAACTCTTGCAATACGTCGCAGTTTGGGTAATGGAGAAATAGGTCGTCTCACTCCTCATTTCTTCAGTTGTATTAAAACTGTATGCATTCACCTTAAAGAATTAATCATTGAGGAGTATTTCATTCATGGAGATAGGGTCAGTCTTATCGCATAATAAATGAAGCCGATATTGTATATATGAAAAATAATAAATTATTCTTTGTGTTTGCAGATTGAGATCACAGATTTTCCACGTACCCTTGAAAAACTTTCATTAAAAGGCTGTAAAATGGGTTATTTGCGTAGTAATAAGTCATATTTCTTTAAAATGAACTTCCATATGCCTAATCTAACAGTAAGGAATTTTGCTTTACAATTGCATGAATATTTAAGTTGTTCTATATTACTTATATTTTATCACTCTTGCTTTATGTTTATTTTTTATATTTGGTTACATATGAATGACTATAAATTACAGAATACTTATACTAATTGAAAATTGAGACGTACTTGCACTTAATATTCATTTGGTAGGTTCACTTTTAAATAACATTTTATAAATCTGCAATAAGTAATAATTATTACTTATTCTATTATCCATTTCACTTTTATGATTACTTTCTTCATTAAATATTTTGTTAATAAATGTATAATTTATTTTTAAACAGTACTTTACTGTTTTTAATTCGTATATTTTTCAGTGTTTGATTTTAAGCAACTGTCAATGGTTTACTCCACATTCGCTCTTGGTTATTAGTAAAATGCCAAACTTAAAAGAATTGCGATTAAATTCTTGTCACCGTTTGGGTGAATGTGTTGCTTATACTAGTTTAGCAACACGATTTGGGTTTAAAAAATTGGAGGTGCGCACTCTACTTTTTTCGATTCAGAATGCTTATAATGTATTGTGACAATTAAGTAATTATATTTTCATATCTTAGATTCTGGATTTACGAGATACAGCACTTGGTGACAGTGAAGTTTGTTGCTTTAGTTGCACTACTACCTTGACTCATCTCTACTTAGAATGCCCGCCTAGTTTCAGAGACACGGAATTAACAGATCAGGAATCTCGACCTTTAGACAGAGAAGCTATATTGAATCCTCCACCTACGTTTGAAGATGCACATGTTGCACAGGTTGAGATATACAAAGCAGTCTATATAATATTGTTCCATCTTTTTATATTTCTTCTTTTCTTTTATATCAGTTTTGGGTAGAAGATGGATTCCCATGGGAAAATAATTCATTTGGGCGTTGTCTAATAACAGACAGAGCAATTTGTGCCCTTGGAACCGACATGTGTGATCGTAGAATAATCAATAACTTCCTAGCAGAAGGTGTAATAGTTGTAGAAGACGGCAAAAGAGTATTTAACAATCCACACTTGAAAACATTGGTCGTTAGGTATGGTAATATTATTAAAGTCTAGGTGTCCATATAGGCAAAACAATAACAATTTTCCGATGTTTTAGAAATTATCCACATGTTACGAATTCAAGCCTTGTTCATTTGGCTTTAAATACATCCAGTCTCGAGTATTTGGATGTAACTGGTACTTCTGTTACAAAGCAAGGTGTCGAAGCTTTTAAGTCTCAAAAAGCAAACGTTAAAATATTATCTTCATTTGATGAAACATAGTTATAATGGACTGCATGAATCGTGAATGTAACATGATTTAAGTGTATGTCTATTGCGTGTGTGAATATTGACGAGCAATATTTAAGAAATACAAAGCCGTGCCGAAGGCTTTGATAATATGGTACTGCTACAGTTGAATAAATTTATTTTTCGCGAAAGATGAACAAACAGAAGAATTAGAAGTAAATAGTTTTTTACTTTCACAAAATAGTAGATGTAAAGAAAGACGTGAATCATAGAAGAGTATTTGAAATTAATACTTAATTTTACAATCTTAGTGTGAACTGTGTTTAGTGTATTTATTTGCAAGTGCTCCAGTTACGTGGTATTGTAAATACGTATTTGTGTGCAATTTAATAGTATATTAAATTTTACGTCGATACTTATTAGCATAACACGATACTAGAATCTCCTTATGCTAGTGATAATGAGTTCTCATTATCAGAACGAAAATGTAGAAATGCATGGTATATATCAAATACATTATTTGAAGGGGCTGGNAAAAACAAACTATGGATATCATAAAATACGTTTTTATTTTTCGATTTCAACTCAGAAGTCTTATTTTTAATATATTTAAAAGTAGTTGATAAAGTAAGAGTATGAAGTTAAAAGAATATGTACATGATAACGATATTTGA